CAGATCCAGCCCAGGAGCAAGGACAGCGCCCCTACATGGGCATCGTTCCGTTCGTGCTGGAGGCCACTGGCGGCACGCATGTGCGGGACGAGCTGTTGTTTCAGGACAACATGTAATAAGCTTGGATTCTCAGGAAGATACTCTGAGCAAGCGCACGCTGAGGTTTTTTCCCGAAATCACTCTGAGCTCCGATCCAGCAGTCTGGTCCCGAAGAGCAGAGGAACAGTGTTGACAAGGTTCATGGACGTCTCCACCCGCACCGCCTTGCTCGTGGATAAGCTGTCCTTTTCCGAGGCACACTAGCAATCTGTGTTGTGAGTAGTTCTCAATGCTGCTGGGTGGGGGGGGGGGGGGGGGGGGTGACTTCACTGCAGGTTTGTATACACAAAGCCATAAGCCAGGCAAGAATAACTTGATCTTCAGCAGACGCTTGCCCCCAAGCCTTCTTGGCTCAAGCTCAGCCGTGTTCCCCCGCTGATATCCGCTGATGGTGTATGTGATCTCCTCAGCCTGCAGCTTCTTACTGGTAGCACTCGTCGCGCTCGTCGTGCATGGCGCCAGTCCACCCGGTGGTGCCTTTGAGTGTCCGTGTGTCAGCAACACGTCGTCATCATGGGCTCTGATCCGTGCAGAGCTCCTGATGCATGCCGGGTATGGTTCAGACTATGGATTGCAGGGATGCCAGGAATACGACAGAGATCTAGTGCAATCTGGGTCCTCACAGAACGAGGCCGACTTCTGTGAGCGCAGCTGGTGCTACGTTGCTGCCGACGCATGCCAGTACAACGAAACAGCGTGCATAGCAGCAGGTGGTCAGCCGGGAGGGTCGGCATCGCCGTCATGCCGGACACGGCCTATGACAGACAGTAGCTTATTATCTACGGCAGTTTACAGTTATGAAACATGCGGGTACAGGAACACTTATGATTTGGGCCCAGTCATGGAGCCCGTTGCAGGAAAGGTGATGAGATTCACTGCTGACGACTTCAGCTGGTTTGTTTATACCAAGCAAGGGGTGGATCCGACAAACCCAAATGTCACCAAAGCAGGTGTCGACTATGACTTTTTCGTGGAGCTGGCCAACAATTTCAACCCCCAAGCTACATTTCAGTTTGTCGATGGCTTTTCAACTCAAGTTTCCAGGTCGCTGTTCTCAAGCTCTTGGACGGCATGCGTTCACGATGATGCTGTCGGCAACATCGATGCTTGTGTCGGCCCGTTTTGGATCACACCCGAGCGGGCGGAGATGACTCAATTTCTTTCAATTTCGGTTGACCTGTTTTACCTCATCGCACCGAAGCAGGACGAAACGCCAAGCTCACTGGGGGACTTCATCTCTGCCCCTTTTAGGCCATTCATGCCGGAGACTTGGTTGGCCATTGTGGGTTTCTTGAGTGTCCTCGCCTGCACGCTTTGGGCCATCGAGGGCTGGGAGACTGGTTGCACTCTTGGTTGGCGATCACAGGCCGAGAACGGTTTTGTGAAAGCCTACGAGACCGTTCAGGCCTTTCTCGCTGGAGGTGTTGAGGCAGAGAGCCATAATTTGCCCCGCAAGTTCCTCGTGCTTGGTTTCGCCTTCTTCCTTTTGATTGTTAGCGAGAGCTACTCGGCCAGCCTGACGTCTATGTTGGTAGTGAGGAGGGAGGCTGCTGGGAACATTGAGAACATTGAGGATGCCATAGAGAGGGGCATGAAGATCTGTATTCCTGCGGTAATCGCCCCCACGCTCAAGAGCATGCACGCCAATGCACAGTTTCTTGAGCTGAGCGATTCACGTTCTCCTCCACGTCACATATAGGCTGGGGATTGCGAAGTCGGCATCATGGCTGAGAGTGGTATCGACTTGCTGGAGTCTGGTGCGCTGCACCAGTCAGATTGCGAGAACGTGAGGTCCAACGGGAAGCCCGAATCAGAGTACCGATGTGAGACCGACTCGACAGGAAAGAAGAGGGATGATTGCAACTTGCTGAAAGTTGGTGAGGTGCTCACCTCTGTGGGCGTTGGTTATCCTGTCAACAGCAGGGCTGCGCAGAGCCTGTCTTGGGCGGTGACCAAAGCTACGATGGCAGGAAAGTACAGCGACATGATGCGCAGTCATCAATCCATGAAACCCAGAAGCCAATGCCTAGCAGTTGCTGAGATCTCTTTGGAGGAGGATGGTCTTCCCGTTGAATCCATGGTAGGTGTTATCATCATCAGTAGTATGTGTCTCGGCATCTCTGTCATAATTCTGATTGGTCGCATGCTCTGTCAGCGTAGACATCCCCAGAGCAAGCCAGACGAGGAAGATGCAGAAGCTGCCGGAGAGGACGGAGCTGGAACAGGAACAGAAGCGTCTCCCTGGGCATCTCAGCTCTGTCTCACCGACGTGGGGGATGCAAGCTCCCTCCACCATTGCATTAAGACTGAGATTTTTTTGGAATCTGGACAGCTAGATCTAGAATCTGTGTCTAGGGTCTAGAGTCTTCTACAATATCTACAGAGTCTATTCCATCTGGACGTAGCTACTCCGATCTTTTTGTTCATAAGGAGCTTTGGCAACGCCTATTGCTCACCGCGTAAGTGGCTTACTCCCGTGTTGGCACGCTCGGCTGGAGATAGTTTTGGCTCTTTGAAATTCTTGGCTGGAAGGTCAGCTAAGAGGAGACAGACATAGACAGGCAATTTTCGGCACTTGGCAAAGCCAGGGAGCGGTGGACGCTCTGCGTGCCGACCATGATTGCTTTCCTCGCAGCCATGATGGCGCTTGGCAAAGCCAGGAAGCGATGGACGCTCAGCCTAGCAAAGCAAAGCCCTGCTCCTGGCCTATCCATCTCCATTTTCATGGAACACGTAACAGGGGCTTTTTCGCAGTTGCCTCCCGGCCATTTCTTCTCCCGCTGAAGAGGCGATGGATGAGCTACTCGGCTGGGCCCCGAGGCGGCTCCGGCTTCAGCTGGGTACTAGAGCATGAGAAGGGTCGCTGTTGATTCCTTCTAGGGCTATTATCATGTGCCGGAGCCGAGCATGCAAGAGCCCAGTACCCGACTGCTTGAGCTGAGGAAAGTCTTGTCATTGCGCCCGCCGGTATCCCAACCTCGCAGGCATGAGCAAGCACTTCTGTGTTGATCGCTGGATGTGGTTTGGCATCATGTGTGTGCAGCCGTCTAATGAGACGAACAACTGTCTGAGTTGAGATTTCCACGAACAATTTCCTGGAGAAGGCTTGTAGCTTTTTGGCACAGCCATCAGTTCTGCAAACGGAGAAGGCTTGTAGCCTTTTGGCACAGACATCAGTTCGGCAAACGTAGGTGATCTTTGCGACGCTCCTGTCTTGACATCATGTGGATGAGCATCATTGTTTGGATCAGTTGGAGGCGGTACATTTGCCAGCGTCTCGAAAAAGTTTCAATGGGCCAGTATCGGGGCCTCGGGGTGAAGGTTATCAGCAGAAAATATTTCTTGATTAGCGAATCCATCGGGCTCTCAACAGAGGACTGAAGGCAAAACGACAACAAAAAGGAAAAACAAAATACAACACATGCATGCACCCACACACACACACACAGAAACACGCACGCCCACACCCACACACTTCCGCGCACCAGCACACCCACCCACCCCCGCTCGCACGCACACACACACCCGCACACCCAGCCTGCCCTCTCACACACACACACACACACGACAGACGGACATCGGGAAGGACAGACGGAAATACACAGGCAGACAGACAGACAGACAGGCACGCACACCCACACGCACAGCCTGCCCTCGGTCTCGCCCCCCGCCAAAGAGCCGGGCATCCCCGTGCTATCTAGGCGAAGCTGTTAGGACACACGCGCACACACACAACACATCCACCCACCCGCCCACGCACCCGCGCTCACACGCAGACTTTCAACATGATGAAGGCGATGAGGGAAGTGCTGACCGAAGCCCCTGCCCTTGGGCAAAGGTGGCTTGAAGAATCGGGACTACAGAGAATTATATATATATAGAGAGAGAGAGAGAGTTCTCGAGCAGTCGATAGTATACAAGCGTACTACAGTATGCTCTGTGGAGTATTCTACTATGCTATCATCTTCCGTGGTGGATTCTGGTTCTCTTGAGTGGATCATGGAGACGCTAGGTGATAACAGTGCAATCAAATCAAATCACGCATTAAGAGGAGGCCCCGGAGTGTTCAGTGGTACAAGCTCAATTCAGATGCTGCAATTCACCACATGCCCCTTCAAGAGAAACCATCTCCACTACCAAGATTTGCTGAGCTCACTGCTGCGGCCATTGCTGCAGGTGTGGCCTTTGTCGTTCCGAGGTCGGCGGCTGGCAGGCCAAAAGCTAGGACCTCATGGGACGGAAGGCTCAGGCCTTCAGCAAGGCCCAATTTCTCTATGCGACGTAGGGTCCTTGGAATGTGATATGAGAGGCAGCTCTTTTTGCCTTGGCAAGCCTGCGCTCGAAGGATGCACAATGGATGCTGCATGGGAGTGCCTTTCGCTGCCACCAGGCTGCAAGTTTGATGCAGACGGCCATTCCGAAAAGCTTTGACCTATACAATATTGCGTTCAGGCAGGCACAGGCGCAGGCATTGCGACACCCAAAGGCCGCTTCCAGGCTGGCACAGGGTCAGACCAGCTTGCACTCACAAACTCCAGGTAGATCTATGCAGAGGGGCTGAAGCATCTTCGATGACAGGTTCTGTGCTACATCTTCGTTGGTCTTGGCAGGGACGAGGCTTGCAGGATGCCCAGCTTTCACAACCATTAACAACGCAGCATGTTCAGGCACGGCCAAGGCGCATGCACCACTTGTAGACTCTTGTAGACTATGTTATGAAGACAGGTGCTTCATCACAGAAGCACATGAGCGAAGTGCTTGGATGTGCTGCACAGTGGGCGTGCTGGGCCAGCAAGCAAGTTGTTTTACCATGTTCTCACAAAAAGCTTCAGGGCAGAGTGTCTGTGCCTCCTCGCGGGCCGTTCCTTCGCGTCAAACATACCCTTGCTATCCTCTGAGCTTGAGGTGGTCAACTCGGACCGTGAAGTTTTTCCTTGCCTGCAAAGGCGAGGGGTGTTTGATCTCGAGTGCTTCAGACTGAGAAGCAGAACCCGGATGCGCAGAAGACTTTGGCAGAGTGCAAGAAGTGCAAGGAGACTAACGAAGGCCGGAAGCACAACTGCGACAGCATGCAGCTTGCCATGGATAGTCTTTCTTGCTCCTACTATGAGGCGGCGACCGTCACGTGCGAGGCTTCTGGAACGTGCTATGACAACGCAGTCTCGAATTACGAGTCTGTTCAGACTTCGTCCATGACTCAGATGGACAGCTTAAAGAAGGACAGAGCGCGCGGGAAGCTGCAGTGGTCCGTGTGGTTTTGTTTTGTGTTCAGGTTTCATAGGAGTTTTGCTTCAGGGCTTCGTCTGAGTTTGAGCATCCACGACCTTGCTTAGGATGATGTAAGGTGAGCTGGGGGTGTCCGAAACTCCTGCCAACCAGTACAGCCAGGCAAAGAACTCGAGATAGGCATTACATCTCATGATTTGTGGTTCTGCTCGTCTCGCATATTAACCTAGCGAGTCTGCCTGTGACAGTTTGCACCAGTGCTCGACGTCATGTTCTTCGAAGCCACTTTCCTTTGTTATCGGCAGTGGAAGTAGTGTGATACCGATGGCCGCGCAAAATGTGTTCGGTGGGCCCAGCGCGTTTGACGGACTCTTTCTTGCTTTCTTCTGCCATCCTCGCTCCGCGCAGATCGGTTGCACGCCGACGCCAAGAATCGCCAAGTGCTTGCCTTAGTCTTCAGAGCCACACTACTGTACTTGATGCTGCTTGTGAAGCACTGGCTTTCTTCATTGCTGAGTTATACCTACCCCACAGGTAAAATGTGCGGTGTTGGGATGTGGTGGGTACAGTGGCGCCAGTGAGGTCGCCCTCGCTGCGGGGTGTGGAAATGTGGGTGAAATGCGCTGATTTGGCGAGAGGATGGGTGATCTCAGCGGGTGACACGTGCGGAGTTGGTTAGCGGTGGGTGGTGAGGTTATCCTCGCTTGTGGTGTTGGTGCTGAGTCCATTGTGCTTGTAAAGAAGGCAGCGCGAGCACGGCTCGTCGAAGACTGCGCGCAGTGGAGGATTGGAGCCATCAGCAAAAGCGAGAGATGCCATATTCTGCTTGGAAGGCGGTATGGCTATCATCCGCAGACCTTAAGGCGCCGTGCCAGTTCCGCTTAGGCTTTAGGCTTCTGTTGCTGCACCTTCTCTCCAAGGACCTGGATGGAAGCCAATGCTCCCAGCCCCTCATGCCAAGGCAAGGGTACCGGTTGAAACCTAGCCGCTTTGGATTCGCAGATGCTTGTCCTGCAGATTGTCCCACGACTGCGCTTGCACGAGCCGGTGCAGCCGAAAGGCAAAGCTGTGCAAGCCGAGGTGGCGAGTCAGCACTCAGCAGTCAAACTTGGGCGATTCGTGGTTGGCAGGCAGTCGTGGCGGTTCGGGCCAGTGCGCGGAGGTCAAACATCCTCCTGCGCATGGGCCTCCCGGATGCTGTGCTGGATCGGCTGCAGGATGGCGAAGCATGAATTTCTAGGTTCTGCATGTGCGCATGTTTTGTCTACTCTTTTTCTTCTTGTCATTCCGACAAGCGGGGCTGGGCTGTAAGAGTTCGAAGTGACGACTGTGGAGTCAATGAGCGGTTGGGAGTGAGGTTGGCCTCACTGGGGGTGGTTGCGTGAGCTCAGTGTGTGGAAAGTGCGGAGTTGGTTACCTTAGCTGTTGACGTGGAGGTTGTCCTCGCTGGTGGTGTTTCTCATCAGTTTGTGTTAGCTAACTCTTGCGTGACCTCAGTGGGCGAAAGACGTCGAGTTGGGCAGCAGTTGGCGATGAGGTTGTCCTCACTGGGGGTGGTTGCGTGAGCTCAGTGCGTGGAAAGTGCGGAGTTGGTTACCTTAGCTGTTGACGTGGAGGTTGTCCTCGCTGGTGGTGTTTCTCATCAGTTTGTGTTAGCTAACTTTTGCGTGAGCTCAGTGGGCGACAGACGTGGAGTTGGGCAGCAGTTGGCGGTGAGGTTGCCCTCGCCGGGGTTGTTCGCCAGGAGAGCAACGACCTGTATGTGGCCGGGTGCGTTGCCGCAGCCCGGCCACATCAAGGGCTGGTCACCTGGACAGCGCGGAGGGCCGCACGCAAGGCCAGAACATCCTGGGCATGCTGTGGCTCAGCTAGCAAGATGCCCAAGGGATTCGGCGGTTGCGCAAAGGTTAGGTCGTTAGAAATCTCGTTTAGGGCTTGACGCACAGAAGCCTAGATTCCTGCGCCCAGTGCACGTATTCGAGACCAGGTTCTGACGATGCCAAGGCCAAGGGATTTGAGCTGGAGCTGCATGCCCATGCTGCATGCCTGACTTTTTTCATGCCTTGTCAAACCTGCCTTAACTTCATGCGACGCACAGCCCACCCCGCCAAACGCGTGTGCGTGGCTGGCGAGTCCCCGGATGATGATTACGGGATCTAGCTTTCGGTACTCAGCCGTTGCTCATGCTTGCCGCCTTTCGCGCAGCACTGTGTCAAGTAAGATAGGCATTTGTTTGTGCGAGCATTCCTCAAGAAGGGCTGCAGCCCATTGTGTTTTTCTTTTGAATGCAGTGCATCCACGTGGGCATGTGTGTTGTGTATCTCGGGTCCGAGTTCTTGGCGCAGTTTTTCACAGTAAGAGAGCATCCATGCTTCTCGGATCGTCTAAGCACCCACCAAGGCGATGGTCCAGAAATGAATTGCGCTTGCTCTCAGCAAGTGGCTGCGCAGGTCCAAGCGCCATCAGAAGCGCCGGCAGCGCAAGCAGCATCGTTCCGACCTGAAGGCCGCGGGAGGATAGACTCCAAGCCAGGATTGGTGAAGTCAAGAGCAGACAGAGTGCGTGTCCGTGCACGGTAGCAAGCTGTTGGCCTCTTGAACTTAGAAGTTCAGGAATTCTGTTCTAGTTATTCTATTTACAACTCTAAGGAACCCTTTAAAAGGTGAGATTACACGAAATATCTGCATAAACTCCAGCAGTCGATTTCCAGATGTTTTCTTGCTCCAAGTGGATAGGCCCACTTTCGATCCTAGCATTCTGTAGCGAGACTTTTCGGCGACAGTTTCGACCATTGCCCTGCAAGACTGTAGCTTTTGCAAGCCCATAGCATGTGGACTAACACTGCGAATCACAATGAATGCCAGGAGCGACGATCCCGGGGCGTATGGTGCTGAGGAATGCCCAGGCTCGCAGCCTTAACCCGCTGCTGAGCTTCAACGGATTCTTGAGTGTTTAGGAGTTTGAGGAGTTGGGGTTTCGGCTTTCAGGAATCTTGTAATCATGCCTGGCACCTAATTTCAGCTGCACACCACATCGGTGTACAGTTGCTTAGCTAAAAGACTACACTATCCTGGCAGCCCGCGTTGGACGATGGGAAGTTCTCAGACAGGCATGCCTGGCAGCAAGAATCACCCAACATCCAGAATGGTTTCCGTTGTCAAGCGCCATCTGCTGATCTCGCAGAAGACCCCCAATCATGCTTGGCATGTCAGCTTGGCAATCAGCTGCTCAGCTTGTCCACGGTTTCTGGAGGTACATTGTAGTTTCTGGATGTGCGTAGGACAGCTATCGCCGGCTTTTGTTGGGTTGGTGGACGATTTGGAATTTCGCTGATTGTCATACCTTACAGAGATCCTTGGAAGCTTGCACGAGGGTTCTAAGACGAAGCGGACTGCCAGAAATTCTGGTGCAAGATGTGCACGTGTAGCATAGCCAAAGTGATGCTGCTCAAAGCACCCTCGTGCGAAAGCCGCATTGCTGGTCCCTAACTAACCTTGAACCACTACTGTACAATCCATTACAATCCTGACTGGCAGAATTTCCCGCCTTGGGTAATGCAGATCTCCACCTTCAACCTTCGAAGAGCACATCTGAAAATTGGGAGCCTCCGGTCGGCCAGGTTGGCTTCAGCTGCACATTTGGCGACGCATGTGGGAATGCAATCTGGGAGTGGTTGAAAACATCCGCTTAGAAGCCCAAACCCGAAACCGTCGAAACCCTAAACACTTCCCTGTACACCCACGCTTCTGATAAGCTGGATGCCCTGCTTACGATTCTGTAGTCCTCCGCGTGACTTGCGGGTGGGCGCGACGAGAGGAATGCCAAGGGTGGAGGCACAGTAGCCTTGGGGGAAGAATAGAAGCCGGAGTAGCGCAGACTAGAGCCAGCTTTCCAAAACACAGTGGTAACCTGGAGCGCCTCAAAGAAGCGACAAGAGTCAAGAATGAGGAGTTCGTGATTACTACTATATATGCTATTACCATGAACAGGATCTCGTCAACCGTGGAATCGAGAAGTTGCTGCATGCTTATGATGCTCCACACTCTTATGGTAGTGTTCATGTCCAACTAGTCCGCCATGAGGAATCGACGTTTTGTGCCTGTCTTATCGCTTCAATGGGACTCTACTTTCCCCAAAGCTTCCCTGTACTGTCCTTCAGCTTCAAGACTGTTCGTCATCCAACAGTATTCCTGGGGTACGGCACAGTACCACTATTCTGAAAAGTCCCTTCCCCCACATGACACTTATCTACGGAAGCTAAGGGCCCCAAAGAATCTGCATTCCTGCTGCTAGGTTACCACCAGAAAGGTGTGATTAAAGTCCCTGCATGAGATGTGCGTCAACTGCAACCCGTATAGTGTTTCTACAGTAGTTCAGAAGTGACCAGCAAGTGTCCGGTCTTGGTATTCCTACGTGTAGCGGTGTGGCACGAGGCTCAGGTAGCGTTGAGCCTCGTGTGTTTGGCGTCTGGCGTCGGCAGACGAAACATCTCTGCCCGCAAATTCCACATCTGCCATGCTGGGGAGCACCCCTAAATCAACTTCTAGCTTTCCTCACCAGGTAAAGACTGAACTGTGATGGGCCTCCGAAGAAGATCTTACTAGCCGCGAGCTCTCCTAGATTGAAGTGGATATAGCCGTCTAGTTGCATGATGCTTTTCATGAACAAGAGAAAAGAAAGGGCATTTACGCGCGAGAGCTGCATACCAATCACGGCAACCCTGAATGCCGCCACCAGGGTGTACCATCAAACCCTAGCATCAACTTAACTCCCAAAACATCGTGGAAGTAGCCCACCACCTGCTAGAAGTAGCGTTGTTCTTCGGCAAGACCGGGTCTATCAGCACTTCAGCTCATCGACTAGTTTTGTAGACCTCCAAATTCCTAGTATATAAGGCGGGCACGCAAATCCTGCGAGCATCGACACATCGGTTGTAAAACAAGCGGACTCTGCAATGCCTGCAAATGAGAGAGAAGAAGCTACAGGCGTTGAGTCATGAAGCTCCGCAGTTTGATCACCGTCACAATCAACATCTTGTTACTTGTTTTTGTTTCCCATAATCATACAGAGTCCATGGGGCATGGGTTTCTGCTCGGCGCTCCGTGCGCAGTGGAAGGTCACGGTGGCACTCGAAGAAGTCCCCGCCTGCCGATGCAAAGTATGCACAGTGTGTGTGTGTGATGTACATACATGTGCGTGTGTGCGTGTCTGTCTGTCTGTCT